TCGTCGATTTTCACTTCTTTTTTTGTTTGCTTTTTTGACACATGTCTACATTTTTCATACATATTTGTATTTTTTGTATCCATCAAAAACATTTATTTGTACATGTTTTAGAATTTTTAAAATACATAATTAATTCGGAATAAATCATGTCCGATGAGTACATTTTTTACACGCTCCATATTTTCGCTATATATCAAGTAGTTATTTTAATACATGTTTAAAAATAAATAATTGTTTATTGATTAAGATCAATATTCATTAAAATTTATGTTATTATTTTCACATTTTGAATACATGATCTACATTTCTTGTAAACATGAGTTAATTTTTTTGCAGATGTTTATATTTTTTGAAACAGATGATTAACATTTTTTTCAAAATTTTGTTTTTGATTACTACTTTTTTCGTACTCATTATATATTTTCGGTATATATTAGGAACAGTTTTATACACTCTTAACATTTTTTAATATAAGGTTAATTTTTTTTGATCTACGATCAACATTTTATTAAATTTTTTTGTATGTTCATTTTTTAATATAAGTTCTACATTTTTGGCATACACCAGGAACATTTTTGTATACATAATCATTTTCTAAATAGATGATTAACAATTTTTGAATGCTTTATTTACATTTTTAAATACATGATCAAATTTTTCATGCATATTGTGGTTTTTTTGTAAAAAATTTCCATATACATGAGAAAAATGCAAAAGCAAAAAACTTATGTTATATGCAAAAGCAAAATACACATCAACTTTTTCATAACAAATTAGCAATATGCTAAGTATTCCTATACACATTTAGCATTTTACAAATGTTATATGTAGAGTCTTTTTGTAATATATCTATGTGTGTGTGTGTGTGTGTGTGTGTGTGTGTGTGTGTGTGTGTGTGTTACTGTTCATCACCCAGGATGCAGAATAAGTTATTCTTCACCCGAGGTAATCTTACGATTATTTTGTAATTAAATTACGTTTGCAATTTAAATAGTTACATCCCTATAGATTCATTACGTAAAATTTGGCATAAGAAAATAAATATATAGGTCATAAGACAAGAAAATTTGCACTTTATGTGTATTTTACACTATGTTTTTACGTTTGTAATTTTACATAACATAAAATATTTTTTACAACGATTATATATTTTCTTACGGTCTCTTTTTACGTCGGAAATAAGATAAAACTTACGGAACGTAAAAATACGGGGCATTGATAGTAAAATAGAGGGGGGGAGGGTGAAGAATGACTATTCCTCACCCAGGGTGACGAATAGCGCGACCCTATATATATACTATTCATCAACCAGGGTGCAGACTAAGTTATTCTTCACCCGAAATAATCTTACGATCATTTCAAAATTAAATTGCGATCATGTTTCAGTTGCTTGACTAACATTTATTAAGTACATTATCAACTTTTTTCATACACATTGTGTATGTTTTGTGTACATCTTTGGAATGCTAGATTAACATTTTTCAAATGTTTTACATAAAGTGTTTTATATAATATGTGAGGAATAGTTATTCTTCACCCCCTCTATTTTAATATCAATGCACCATAATTTTACGTTTCATAAACTTTATCTTATTTCAGACTAAAAAATAGAACATAAAAATATATAATCGACATAAAATATTTATGTTACATAAAATTACAAATGTAAAAACATAGTGTATAATGTACACAAAATGCAATGTTTCTGGTCTTATGACCTTTTTTTCTTATGCCAAATTTTATGCAGTGAATCAATATGAATATAACTATTTATGTTTCAAATGTAATTTATTTATAAAATGGTTGTAAGATTATATCGGGTGAAGAATAACTTATTCTGCATCATGGGGAACCCGCCATGCAAGATCCGGTTCGCCACCGTCACCCTGCTCGCCTCCGGCGTCCCTAGCTAGCACCATCCTGGCTAGGCGCCATCTGGATCCCCCTCTAAACTTCCACGAGACCTCAATCACTACCAAGACAACACTATCTCCACTTCGGCACCCCTTCAACTCGTATCTTGCATAATTAAATAGTAAATGCTAAATACTAATGTTGTGCTTGTGTATGTTGGAATGCAAGGTTTTCGAGCCATTAGTGAAGTTATTTCAGTTGGACGGTAATGCTTGACAGTCCATGGCCTCTATGTATGAAGAAATAATAAAGGCAAAGAAGGCAATAATGCTTGCGGTTGAAGGTTCAAAGAAGAACTGCAAAGTGATCTCAGCAGCCATGTAAAGCAAGATGAATGGGAGGCTAGATACCACATTGAACATGGCAGCATATGCCTTGAATCCTCACTATTGTTATGCTACACGCGTCTTTACTGGTCCAGAAGTCATGTTCGGGTTGGTGGATGCTATGGAACAATTTTATCATGATGATAACGTGCAAAATAAAGTGCTCAACATGGAATTGCCCAGGTTTAAAAAGAAGGAAGGCATGTTTGGCAAGGTGGCTACAACGAAAGCAATTAGCAATGACAATTACAATGCCGGTAAGCTTGTTCTCAAAGATAACTTTGCCATATTGCATATCTGAAATTCTGGGATGATGCATAATACTTTGTATTTTCTATCAATGTAGCGGAGTAGATGGTCCGTTTTGTGGGAGAAGTATTCTTACTATCCCTTCTATAATTTCATAAGCAACACTGGGATCAATATCAATAAAATTCCCTTTGGCGGCAAAATCAAGGAGTTGCCTATGGGGTATGGTGAGCCCAATATAAAAATTACGAAGTAAAATCTTAGAGTCTCCCTCTATAGTGCAATCATGATAAGATTTTATCATCCTATACCAAGCATCTTTTAATTTTTCTCCTTGTCTTTGTTTGAAGTGGAGAACTTCAAAATTGGGAGACAGAGGAGTAGATAAAGGACTAGCCATTACGACGAAACAAGCGAAAGAAAAGGCGAATGAAAAAGAGGGCGAATAAAATGGCAAGGGTGAAGTGGGGGACAGGAAAACGAGAGGCAAATGGCAAATAATGTAATGCGAGGGATAAGAGTTTGTGATGGGTACTTGGTATGTCTTGACTTGTGCGTAGACTCCCCAGCAACGGTGCCACAAATCCTTCTTGCTACCTCTTGAGCACTGAGTTGGTTTTCCCTTGAAGAGGAAAGGGTGATGCAGCAAAGTAGCGTAAGTATTTCCCTCAGTTTTTGAGAACCAAGGTATCAATCCAGTAGGACGCCATACACAAGTCCCTCGTACATACACAAACAAATAAGAACCTCGCAACCAACGTGATAAAGGGGTTGTCAATCCCTTCACGGTCACTTACGAGAGTGAGATCTGATAGAGATAATAACAATAAGATAAATATTTTTGGTATTTTTATGATATAGATTGAAAGTAAGATTGCAAAGTAAGATAGATTGGAAACTTATATGATGGAAAGTAGACCCGGGGGCCATAGGTTTCACTAGTGGCTTCTCTCAAGATATCATAAGTATTATGATGGGTGAACAAATTACTATCGAGCAAATGATAGAAAAGCGAATAATTATGAGAATATCTAGGCACGATCATGTATATAGGCATCACGTCCACGCAAGTAGACCGACTCCTGCCTGCATCTACTACTATTACTCCACACATCAACCGCTATCCAGCATGCATCTAGAGTATTAAGTTCATAAGAACAGAGTAACACATTAGGTAAGATGACATGATGTAGAGGGATAAACTCAAACAATATGATATAAACCCCATCTTTTTATCCTCGATGGCAACAATACAATACGTGTCATTTCCCTTTCTGTCACTGGGATCGAGCACCGCAAGATTGAACCCAAAGCTAAGCACTTCTCCCATTGCAAGAAAGATCAATCTAGTAGGCCAAACCAAACTGATAATTCGAAGAGACTTAGAAAGATAACCAATCATGCATAAAAGATTTCAGAGAAGAATCAAATATTGTTCATAGATAGACTTGATCATAAACCCACAATTCATCGGATCTTGACAAACACACCGCAAAAAGAGTTACATCGAATAGATCTCCAAGAAGACCGAGGAGAACTTTGTATTGAGATTCAAAGAGAGAGAAGAAGCCATCTAGCTAATAACTATGGACCCGAAGGTCTGAAGTAAACTACTCACACATCATCGGAGAGGCCATGGAGTTGATGTAGAGGCCCTCCGTGATTGATGCCCCCTCCGGCGGAGCTCCGGAAAAGGCTGCAAGATGGGATCTCTTGGGTACAGAAGGTTGCAGCGGTGGAAATAGGGTTTCGTGGTGCTCCTGGATGTTTTCGGGGTATGTGAACATATATAGGAGGAAGAATGTGATGCCCGGATAATTAAGCTACAGTAATCTCATGCTAATGATGCCAGGTCATCACTCTTACTATTGCTAATCCTCATATGATCCAAGGCATAAGTCAAATTCAAATTCAAATTTAAGCCCAATTTCAAATTTGTCAAACATGCAAATAAAAATGTTCACGGTGTGGCAAATAATCCCTGGATATTTGTCATGTTGGAGCCAACCTATTTTGAATTCCAAAAATGCCCCTGGAATTAATTTTTAGTTAGCAACAATTAAATCGACCGTTTCGATTTAAATAAATATCCAACCTTTTCAAAATAAACTAAAACTCCGTGTGCTGCCTTATAATACTGTCTAGTATTTATTTGATAAGTGGCACATTTAACAAAGTTCATTTGTTAGCCAAAATAAATAATTAACAGTAGAAAAAAACAAAACTGAAAAGAATAAAAAATATAGCAAAAGCAAAAGAAAAGGGGCCACAACCCCCCTTGCCCACCTGGGCCTCAGCCTACCGGCCCACCCAGCTGATCGGCCCACCAGGCCCACCTCTCCCTCTCCCTTATCCTCCCATGCCCTAAAATATCTGGACAACTCCCTCCCCACTCCCCTCGATCCCCCACTCTCCCCACCCCTCCTCTGTTCCTCCCGATCGGGATCGAGGAGCTCGCCCGATCCCGCGACCCCGCCGCTGCCCTTCCCGGCGCCACCACGCCGGCGCTACCTCGCCGATGCCGCCTGGCGCTGCCCCGTCGTCGTCGTCCTTATCGCGGCCCCATCCTCCTCCCCGTTCCTAGATCCGGAAGGGCCTCCCCGCCCCGACCTCATCGTCGGACGCCGCTCGCCGGAGCCGCTCCGCGTCGCCTCGCCTCCCTGTCTCTCCATCGCCGGCCACCCCGAACTTCCCCGAGCCCACGGCCCTGTGCCCTACATTCCCCTCGTGAGCGCCCCCATTTTCCCATTTTCCTCATCGCCCGACAAGCCCGCGTCGGACCACACTTGTCCGCCTCCGCGCTCGCACCCTGGTCGCGCCATTCGTGCCCTGCTGGGGCCCTGCTCGCGTACACACACGCCCGCGGCCCCCCCGCCGTGCTTGCCACCCTGCCTTCGCTATGCCCATCATTGTGCGCGCCCACGCGCCCCGCTCACCTGCCGCAGCTCCCGCGGCTGGCCGCGCCCCCTGACCGCGCCGCGCCGGTGCCCCTGCTGCCTCGTCCAGGCCATGGCCTTCCCCACGCCTGGGTTCGCCCCTCCATGGGCGCCCGCACCCGTTAGCCCGATTGGCCACATGGGCCTATGACAGTGGGGCCCGCCCCCAAAACGAAATTAAAGTTAGTTAAAAATAATTAAATATTAATTAATTAATCATGCTAATTAACCTGATTAACTTTTTAACTAATTGGACCGTTAATCAGTCTATGACAGAATGGACCCACGCGTCAGTTTGACCAAGTCAACTGACTGTTGACTGCTGACAGCACCCTAATGTCATGCTGACGTCATAATGGCATTTGCCTAATTAATTTATTTTTGTTACTTCTAAAAATGTTTTAAAACTTTGAAAATTATTATAAAATAATCCATAGCCCCGATGAAAAAGTTTAATACATGAAAGTTGCTCAGAACGACGACACGAACCCGGATACGCAGCTCGTTCGTCCACCACACATCCCTAGCATAGCAAACATGCAACTTTTCCCCTTCGTTTCTTCTGTCCGAAAACGCGAAACACCAGGAATACTTTCCCGAATGTATCTGCCCTTTTTGCCGGTATCACCTACTGCCGCGTTAGGTCACCCCTTAGCACCGCTTGTTGCCATGCTATGTCTATGATACCTTGTGTGCTCCATATTTACTGTTTCTTCCCCCTCTTCTTCTCCGGTAGACTTCGAGACCTACGCTGATGCCTCTGAGTACGACTACGTCAACGACGACCCCTCCTTGCCAGAGCAACCAGGCAAGCAAACCCCCCATTGAGCATTCCGATATCGCCCATTTCTTTCCCTCTCATGCTTGCATTAGAACTGCTACTGCTTTATGTATGATCCTACTCTGATGCATAGCCTGTTTTTGTTACCTGCTTTCATACCTTACCTGCTTATCCTAAACTGCTTAGTATAGGTTGGTTAGAGATCCATCAGTGACCCCACCTTGTCCCAGTTGCCTCGCTTTATGTTCGATGACTCGATCAACTTGATCGACGTCCAGGCCCCGACACCGCACATCACCCCCTAGTTGTACGACTCTGCAGAGTTACCATCGAGTGCTGAGGGTGCAACCTCTTGCATCACTCCTGATGAGATCTCTGTAGGGTAGCTATACGGTCGAGATCATCGAGGGTGATTTCCTCCTTAACCACTTCCGTTACGGCTCTGTCATGCAACCCATCAAATGTGAACCTCGAGGGTGGATCCTCTTACGTTCACCTTGATGACAACATCGAGTGGAATTCACCGAGGATGATTCCTTGGGTTTTCCCCTTGGTGTTAGACACACAGTTACTATGGTTACTATGACTTTGCACTGAGCCATGTTACTAAAGACGGGTCGGCCCTAAGGGGTACCTGAGGGAGTCCTGGATTAGGGGGTCTCCGGACAGCCGGACTATCTCCATTGGCCGGACTGTTAGACTATGAAGATACAAAATTGAAGACTTTGTCTCATGTCCGGATGGGACTCTACTTGGCGTGGAAGGCAAGCTAGGCAATACGTATATGGACATCTCCTCCTTTGTAACCGACCTTGTGTAACCCTAACCCTCTCCGGTGTCTATATAAGCCGAAGGGTTTTAGTCCGTAGGACAACAATCACAACATACAATCATACCATAGGCTAGCTTCTAGGGTTTAGCCTCTCTGATCTCGTGGTAGATCTACTCTTGTAACACCCATATCATCAATATTAATCAAGCAGGACGTAGGGTTTTACCTCCATCAAGAGGGCCCGAACCTGGGCAAAACTTCGTGCCCCTTGCCTCTTGTTACCATCCGGACTAGACGCATAGTTCAGGACTCCCTACCCGAGATCCGCCGGTTTTGACACCGACAGTACCCGCGCGAGCTTAATAGTGAGTGATGTGGAGTCGGTTTGACCTGAAAGGTGCCCGCGAGATACTTACGAGGCGTGGCCGGGCATTCTTAGCCCTTGTTGCAAGTACTCGAGACAAGGCGATGGGGTCACATCGATCGTGAGTCTCTGCTCGTTACCGCGTGCTCCTAATACACTATGATTTGGATATTTGATCCGAGGGGCCTCTGGCCTGATAGCACTAACCATCACGTGGGCATAGTATGGGCGTTCTGTGTCGTATGCATCAGCCGAAGCTTAATAGACGTCAGCAACTAAGCGACACGCGCTGGGTTGGACTGCGTAAGCACCTGCCTTTTTGAAGGAGGTAGCTAGGTCTGCTCACCGGCCGCCCACGCAACATGCAGGAGTTCCCGGGGCGATGACCCATGACCCCTGGGGGCATAGGTTTAGTCCGGCGTGCTGGCCTCTCTGTTAAGCCTAGGTTGGGTTGCGCGTATTGTTTGGCCGAGGCCGGGCATGACCCAGGAAAGTGTGTCAGGTCGGAGTTAATCGAGCGTGGTGGGTAAGTTGGTGCACCCGTGCAGGGAAGAAAACATCTATCGATAGCCTGTCCTACAGTAACAGACACTTGGAGTTGTATCCCGATCGATAGAACTAGAACTGGATACTTGTGATGAGAACTGGATGGTGATGAGAATTGGAATGTGTTGACACTTGGATAGTATGGCTCTGGGACAGTTTTCTCACAAGTAGTCGAGAAAGGATCTCTGGCCGAGGTTGATAACACTTCTACTACTTTACTTTATGCTACTCTACTCCCTCCTGTTGCTGCAAGATGGTGGGTTCCAGAAGATGCTAGTCTTCGATAGGCTAGGCTTTCCCCTTCCCTTCTGGCATTCTGCAGTTTAGTCCACAGATACAATCCATTCCTTTGATAAAGATGCATACTTAGTTTAGATCTGATGTAAGTCTTGCGAGTACTTTGGATGAGTACTCACGGTTGCTTTGCTACTTCTTTTCCCCCATACCGATTGTTGCAACCAGATGACGGATCCCAAGAGCCAGACGACGCCACTAATTACTACTACTACCCGGAGGATGCCTACTACTATGTGAAGACCGCAGATGACTAGGAGTAGTTAGGAGGCTCCCAGGCAGGAGGCCTTGCCTTTTCGATCATTGTTGCTTTTGTGCTAGCCTTCTTAAGGCAATCTTGTCTAACTTATGTCTATACTCAAATATTGTTGCTTCCGCTGACTCTTGTGTATTCGAGCTTATGTATTCGAGCCCTCGAGGCCCCTGGCTTGTAATATAAAGCTTGTATTATTTTAATTTGTATCTAGAGTTGTGTTGTGATATCTTCCCGTGAGTCCTTGATCTTGATCGTACACATTTGCGTGTATGATTAGTGTACGATTGAATCGAGGGCGTCACAAGTTGGTATCAGAGCCGATTGCCTATAGGATCCCCCTTTCCAACTACTTGGTCGAAGTTGAGTCTAGAAATCGAAAACCATTTTATTAACTTGGCTGTGTGTCTTACGGCCCACGTCGCCAATTGGGTGGTATTAGGATCTTTTATTCCTCGTCTATACTCTGGGACTCTGATCTCTCTTCTATTTTTGGGTTAAATGATTTTACTAACTCGAACATTAGGATCTCGTGATCACATCCACCCGGAGAGCCCCTTATTTCAGATGATCGATTGCTGCATCAGAAGATTCCGAAGATACTCTACGATATTCTCTGAGACTTTGTGCCTGTTGCCTTTGCAATTCCCTACCACCGAAATATCCTTATGGATAACTACACACACTTGCCAATCTTACATTTTATCCCATTGATCTTGTTGTTACCAGATGCCCTGAACTGCTCACCTTTGTTTCGAGAATCCTTTGAGCTTACTGCCTTGCAGTTCCTTGACATCTGAATCCCCCTACGGATAACTTTGTGCACCTATCGAGTATCCGCTCATCCTCAGTTGATTCATGTACTTCACAAAAGTCTTCGTAATACCATTCATTCTTGTGAAAATCCTCAACAACCTATTGTTCTTGAATTTCTTGCTTGCTTGCATTATGGTTAGTACCATAAGTCTAGTAATCTTATTGTCAGCCTTTGTCATTATCATTTTGAGTCCGTTGATACAATATGTTGCGAATGCTCGCAATCCTCAATCAGATCCTAGAATTCATCCTTCCGGCTCAGACATCATTTTAACATATGCTGAATCTCGACCAATCAAATCGCCATCGATTGTACCCCTAAGGCTATTCTACCTATCCATCCCTAATCAGTGCATTGCTTCTGATGCTTGTCTTGGAATTCATAATTCCTTTGCAATTGAGCTTTGAGTTAGTTAGTTGTTTCTATAATCTGATCTCCTTGCATTCTTCTTCCTCTGGTTGAATATTGATGCTCACATCGGATCCCTTGTGGACCACCAGACCCCCCTTTTTTGGATTTTATCCGACAACGTCCTTCATATTCAATAAGCTTGTGAGCTTTTCCTCGGATACATAATGCTTTTGGTAAATTGTATCCTCTGCTTTCTCAAGCGTGCTCTACTACCGAGCCTGTGTTATTTATTCTCGAAATTTATGATATATGTTCCTAAGATGCCCTGGTGGGTTGAACCTATGCCTTCCCTAATCTGTGTGAACTCGAAAGTTATGCGGGTTATACTCTACTGGCTTTTCGTCAGATAAAATTTCAATACTACAGCTTCATCAAGAGCGAGAAGTAAAATGAAAGGTTATGCATTGTAGAAGTGGGAGTCGACCCTGAACCTTGTGTTCATGCCCACGGACACGGTGTGGAACTTATCATGAAAGCTTCTTGCAAGGATATTTAATC